GGGAGACCGTCGGATGGGAAAAGTGGAGCCTCGAGATACGGATCTCAAAATCTCCGACCGTTGAAATATTGATCGGACGACTCCCGAAGGCCGGGCAGAGTGCCTTTCTCGGAAGTAAGACAGAGAAACCGGATCCGTTGCATGTATGGGAATAATCTAGCCAAATTGTTTTTTGTTACGTACAAGTCATATACGGTCACGGAGTATATAATTATAGATTAGGTAGGTTATACGAGAAACGTATAACAAACTTTCATGCACCTAATTAAATTGATGTTTTTCTTTAAACATACTTTCAAACACCCAATTAAATTTGCATAAATATCATACAAAGTATTTTATAGCCTTGCTTCAAAAAAAAAATATAGCGAGAGAGTCAATTCCCTAAATTGGACTAAAAATGTATTTAATTGTCAAAACTATCCTTGATGAATTTTTAATTGTACTTACAATTAAAAATAGTTAAAAAGCGTACAACTCAAGAAGGAAAACACGCCCACCCAACTGCCGCCGTCAGAAAACAATTTGCAACCACCCACTCGCGCCACTCCCATCTCTGCCGCTGATGTAACTCTCGATGGCACCACCGCCGTTAATTCTGGCACCACTCCTGGCACCGCCCACACTGTCACTTTGGCACCTCCGCTAGTTACTCGTCCGTTTATGTCATGTTACTACAATTTTTGAAAGAAAAATGACATATTATATTAAATCAAACTCGCACACAATTAGGAGAATTGCAAATAATAAAGTAAACCATCTGACACTACCCTCCATCTAAACTAACATAACCATAAGCCCATCGCCCCCCTCACTTCTTTATCAGACATAAAGTAGTCCACTCCAAAAAGAGCGAGACTAATTGCTGAAAGTGTGAGCGCTTTGAGACTATTAGGGGCTAAGTCAACCTGATTGCCTCTCAACATAAATCTAGCAACTAATTAAGGTAAACCAAACTAAGAACCCACCACTCATATTATTTGACCTAATAAAAACAAAATAAAGATTAACAAACAGAGCATAACAAAAATAAATAAACTTCAGCTTGTGAAAGAGCGTAATGCGTCCTTCAAGCATCTTCTTCCAGACCCTAGTCACGCATTACCTCTGTGGCAGTGGTTAAGGAGGGGGCCACATCATCCATATACTATCTTCTTCCTCCACCACCTGAGGCGGTCAAAACAACTGCGCCAATCCCCCAATCGCTGATTGGATCCCAAGCTCGACCCCTTTAATCGGGACCCATATCACCAGTGTTCCACCCGGATCAAACACATCTAATACAACCCCCATCTCAATCACCATCAGAGCCAAAGTAGTCAAATCAAGCATCAGAAAATCGGGTCTCACAACCCTAGCCGTTGCAGATCCACGATCGCCTTCAAAATCACTGAAATCCATTGACACCAATTTGAAAAACACCAAATCCATGATCTTCTTTGTCCGTGGGTATCTCCCGTATCTCCCGCCCTCTTATTGTCGCCTGACTAATTTGAAATGTCGCACCACCGGCAAAAAATAAAAAACGTCGCACCACCGGCAAAAAATAAAAAAGTCAATTTAATAAAATTAGAAATTGGGATTTCGTACAGAAATTCAACAAAAGCAGAAATCAGAAATACATCACCAATGTTTAAAAATAAAAAAATAGATGCTAAAACTCAGAAATTTAATTAAATCAAATAAACCTAACCAAAACTACTAAACACAATGACAAAATCAGATTTTTAGATGAAAATCATAGGAGAAAAAAGAAGAAGAAATTAAAAGAAGAATAAGGGCGAGAAAAATGAAGAAGAAAAACTTGGTGGCTCCAGTTAGGAAGATTCACGAAATGTAGTAAAAACGTTTTGAAAATTTCAAAATAGATCTGTCATGTTTATATTTTCTAAATAATACTCCATCGGTTAAATTTGGAAAATATCGCTGAGTTTAAATTTCGATACTTCTGTTTATGAAAAAAACATAATTATCATATTTTACAATACATAATGGTTTTTAGTCTTGTTGAGGGCAATTTGCCCTCATGTTATGCGGCAAGTCCTCTTTTTTTGGATAAAATGTAAATTATATTACCACCCAAGCAAAATTTAACAAGTAGAATGTGTCCAAAAATCAAAAGTCTCCCCTCCCTCCTATTTCGTGAAAAAAGGAAAGGGTGAGAAGAGGCTAATAGTTTAGTCTAAGTCAATCTCGACCTATACCCAAAAATATGCGGCCAATAAGTCAAAAATAAAAGGTAGATTCTATAGTACCCAAAAGGTATCATACTTTTGTCCACATGGATCAATCAGAATATTTCAGTTGAATTATTTAAATCTAAATTAAAAATGATATACCTACTAGGACCAATCAAGAGAATAATAGGTACGGTACCCCATTTTTTAAATGTTGACATGAGTTCTCACCAAAATAAAAACTATAGTGGTGCTACGATTTGAAGGGTAGTGCAAATTCTCTATTCTATTTTACTACGATTTTTAAACCAGAAACGATTCTACCCAAATACAGCAGCGTTCTGTATGTCACACTCACGAGTATCAATTTCCATACAACTGAATTTCCCACCAAAAAGATACCGCTCTCCTCTCTACTTCCGCTGCTTACCCCCCACCCCTACGCCTTTCTCGTTTCTGCTGAACCAAGAACCTCCCCATCTTCACCCCTCTAAGATTCTTCGAAAAAAGGCGAGATTTTTCCTTCTGGGGGGTTCTCCCGTGCTGCAGCAATGGCGCAATGGATTACGCCTCTTTTCCTGACGATCGCCGCCGTCCTCATTTCCATTCCCCAATCTCTCTCTCTACAGAGTACGTTCATCTCCAAGATCTCTCCGTTCCTCGCATTTACTCATTTTCTTGGTTTTTCATAAGTTTTTTTTTTCACATTTACGCAGATCCCAGTTATCTAAATTTTGTGGTGAACGCGACGCAATTGCCACCGGAAGAGTACTACGATTACATTGTCGTCGGAGGCGGCACCGCCGGCTGCCCGCTGGCGGCGACACTGTCGGAGAGGTTTAAAGTCCTCGTTCTTGAAAGGGGCGGGGTTCCCTACGGAAACCCAGATTTGATGACTCAAGAAGGGTATCTCACAGCCCTCACGGAGGTCGACGCCTTTGATTCCCCTGTACAGGCCTTCACTTCCGAGGAAGGCGTTCCGAACGCCCGCGGCCGCGTTCTTGGCGGCAGCAGCACCATAAACGCCGGGTTCTACAGCCGGGCAGATGAAGGGTTCTATCTCAGGTCAGGGATCAACTGGGACATGCGATTGGTGAACCAATCTTACGAATGGGTGGAGAGACTCATCGTATTCCGGCCGGAGCTCCGGACCTGGCAAATGGCGGTGAGGGACGGGTTGCTGGAAGCAGGAATCGACCCCTACAATGGATTCAGCTTAGAACACGTTCTTGGCACCAAGATTGGTGGGTCCACCTTCGACCCCACCGGAAGAAGACACATCTCAGCCGACCTTCTTGCATACGCCAACCCTTCCAACATCCGGGTGGCCGTCCATGCCACCGCAGAGAGGATTCTGCTCAGAAAACGCACGGCGGCCGGAGTTGTTTTCCGGGACCGGAACGGCAGGTATCACCACGCCATGGTTAGGGGTAAAGGCGAAGTCTTGCTCTCCGCCGGAGCTCTGGGTACCCCTCAGATCCTTCTACTGAGTGGAATCGGCCCTAGACCATACCTATCTTCTCTGGGCATTCCGGTCTCCTTCCACTCACCTTACGTAGGGCAGTTTCTATTTGACAATCCAAGAAATGGAATCTCCATTGTCCCTCCTTTACCCCTAGGGCACTCTCTGGTTCAGGTTGTGGGGATAACAGAGTCAGGTGCTTACCTAGAAGCTGTTTCTAATGTCATCCCTCTATCTTCCCCTACCCCACACCCCTTCTTCACCGGAACTCCATATGCTCCTCCGGTTTACTACCGGACAGTGGCAACAATCTTGGAGAAGGTAATAGGGCCTTCATCTGCAGGGTCACTGAGACTGGCCTCAACTGATATTAGGATGAACCCCTTGGTCAGCTTTAATTACTTCAATGACAGGGGTGACCTTGAGAGGTGCGTGAATGGGAGCAGGATGATAGGGGAGATTTTGAGGACTAGTTCAATGGAGGCTTTCAAGTTCACCCAGTGGTTTGGTGGTAGGGATTTCGTGTATGTGGGGCCCGCTTTGCCCGAAGACCAGTCCAGTGATGTTCTGATGGAGGAGTTTTGCCGGCAGACTGTTAGTACCATCTGGCATTACCATGGTGGCTGTGTTGTTGGGAAGGTTGTTGATGGAGATTTCAGGCTGGTTGGGATTGAGTCTCTCCGGGTCGTCGACGGATCAATCTTCACTGTTTCACCCGGGACTAATCCTCAAGCTACCCTTCTCATGCTTGGGAGGTGAGTGAATACATATTGCTCTCAGGTCATTCAACATGAAGTTAATTGGTGTACTAATACAACAGAGTTAACTTGTTTGGTTGTATCTTCTTTGCAGGTATGTGGGTATGAAGATGCTAAGAGAACGGTTGTGATAGAAAGTGACCAGATCATTTTTGTGACTGTTAGATTTGGTAGTGTTTTTTTTGTGGCTTATGAATATGGGCACTTCAGTAGAGAAGTTGAGGCAGGAAGAAAAGAGGGTAATTGGTGTTTTGTTTGCTGATACATTGATTAGAAGAGGAAAGTGAAGGCCTAATTGGTCTGCTATGGAACCAGTCTGCAGGGTCTTCATTGTGTACATAACCTGAGAGTTTCACTCCTTTCAATGCGCATTCCTGATGTGTATTTTATGAAGTTTGTGCTTGCTAGTAAACTACTCATTTACCTGTATAATTGTCTGTCATTGAATTGAAGACCAACTGCATTTTTTTCATTGCATTACAAGCAAATGAACTGTTATATACTGACATACTGTGTAGTAGCTAGTAATTGTGTGGGTTTTGGGTAGTACGAAGTATCTATTACTCATATTTTTTTACTTATAACAAAAAGTATTTTAGTGGTAAAAATTGTGCACAAGCAAATTGCATGTAAAAAATGGAATGTTACAAAGATAGAGGATAGTAGAATTCGGTCATAATTATGTGCTGGTTAAACCACATTATTATTTAATGGAGATGGAAGAACACTATCTATGACAGAAATTTCAAAATCACATTTACAATAAGTGCAATCAATGCTCAAGTTCTCTTCGCCCGCATCCCAGCCCGTCTTCATACAAGAATGATCTCTTCTGGTGCAAAAAACTGGTTTTTGCCTATGAACCACAAAACTCCCAATCCAAATCTCTTTCAAGATCGATATTAGTTCCCGACGAGCTTCTCCAACTTTCACTCGCAATTCATCCGACTTCTTCATGGCACTCAACACCTCCATTCCTTTCTCCTTGTGTTCACCTCCCATGAATAGCATGGAAATTATGGAGATTGCATATACTGCTCCCACATGTCCCGCATTCCCTGCCTTCCTCAAACACTTCAATGCGTATTCTTGTTCTCGTCCGCTAAAATAACCGACCTGCGATTAATTAAATATTAGTTGACTTAGTGAAGAATTTTATGTATTGATTTGGTATTATACGTATAAGATAAAAGATATTGATATATACCACTCCTGTCCTGAACAAAACTTCTAGATTCTGGGCATCCATACACTTGTTCAAAAAGGAAGCCACTTTTCTTTTCTTTTCAGCACTTTCTGGCTTCCAACCCAAAATAACTGGGAAGTCAGCTAGAGATGCTTGTTTATACACGTCCACGTCATCCCCCAATTCATTCCACTCATGGCAGCTGCAAGGATCAATCAATATATCAAGTTATATATTAACATATACAAGTTAGTAATTAATTTATTGACTGAATGTTTATACAATTATATTGTTGCTATATACCTGAGTTTGGCATGAAGTAAATCCGGTAGAGAATGAGCAGCAACTCTGGCCAAAATACCGACTATAATATCCCGTGGAATGAGATTGATTCTCGTGGTTCTTTTGGTCTTTTTCCATCTTTTATTTGGGCTTTGGTGGTATGTTGCATATCCCATAGCTATTACTTGTAATATTAATATTAATATTATTTTAAAGTGATATATACTAGGACTAAGGTCGTTGCTGGTGGCTTGAGAATATAGCAACCGATGGAGGTTTGGTCTCAATCTTACAGTATATTGTATACACTACGTATAACTCATTGTATGGAGAATAAAATTAAACAAATTTAGTTGTAATGAAGGAATAAAGGTGTAGCAGCAAGTATATATAGGCATATAGCATAGGTTAAATTAGGAAACTTCTAATCCGTGTAAAGTTAGGGATTGACTGAACGTACACAATAATTTGTAAACGAAATTGGACTCCCGTAAATAGGAAAGTAACAATTAGGAAAGTACTCATACTAGTTTCTACTGTATATAATAAGAGTAAAAACGAAACTACACTCACGTACGGAGTAGATATTATAAAAAAATTACTCAAACTAAATATGTTTGTGATTTTTTTGATCCTCAAACAAATGGCTTAAATTAAATCACAATATTCAACAGGGTACAAGATAACAAAAGGACCACATGTAACCATCCGCCCTTGGCTGAGACTCTGAGTTAATCACCTTTGACAAAGCAATATAACTCGCTAGACCTAATTTGAGCAACATAAAGCCAATGACAATTACCGTAAACCTCTTATCCCCCAAACTAATGTAAGAGTCTTACAACAAAAGAAAAAATAAAAGTAAAACAGAAAAGTCTGATCATGAAAATTAAAAAGCGATTCGCAAACAATAAAATTAAAACACGGCTTCCAAATCCTAAACTCTCTTGCACTCCATGGCGGCGGTTCAGGAGGGGGACTGTCGAACAGTACTGAAGCATCTTCCGCTCCTTGCCTCCGATCCAGATCTGAACCAGTCCCTAGCCTCACGTTTCGTCCATGACCTTTTGATCTTAACCATGAACGATACCCTTAGTATCAAGTGCAGCAATGCTGCTTGATTAACAACCTACCATGTTGCAAGGTTAGCGAATTTGTCAGGTCCTCAGGAGTTGGTCAGTTCTATGTCCCACCCGAGGATAACTCTGAGTTATTGGTTTGCTGTGTCCTTTGTCACGTTCATTATTATTAATACATAAGTATTCTTTTTTAAAAAAGAAAGGTCCACCACATGCATCCTTAAATTCTCGTTTGGCGAACCACTATTAGCTAACCCACCACCCCCGGTTTTTGAAGGAGCATACTCCACCTCCATACAGTTGCTAGAATCAAGAGGTAGCTCCTCTTCAATCCTCTTCCTCTTATGGTGAGATTTTAGTCCCCGACTAGAGAGATTGCGTTGTACTATTATCTCGTGATCCTCCTCCTTAGCATCCTCTGTCCCATATCTCCACATGTGCGCTACATTGTGGCCTATCTGATCGCTCCTACTACCGCCCTTGCCAGAACAATTCACATGTTGTGTGACACTGTCCCCAAGAATATTTATTATTACCCAAGTATGTATTAAAAATTGAGAAATGATTTAATGAATTTTAGTGATTTTATTTTTTTCGTTTTTACTTTTATTTGAATAGTAAAATTTACGTGGAGCCCACACCGGGAGCGGAGACCACTCGATATATTCCAGGATCACCCAAATCGTGAAACCCGCCTTAAACACTTCACGATTGACTGAGCTTAAAAGTGACGTTGTACGGATGATTTTTTTTATTATTATTTATCAACCAATGCAAGAGGTCAACCTCATTTTATACGGAGTATCACTTATTTTTAAATCATTAAACAATTTGATGTTAGAGTGTTGCACTTTGAGTAGTTATGTTGGTCATTACTGGGTTAGTCCTTTGTAATATGTAAGGCGTCTAGGTTGTCTACATTGGCCATAGTATTACTTTTTATACGTATAAATTATACATAATGTTACTCCGTATTAAACTTTTAATAACGTTACTCCGTATTAATTTATTCTAAAAAGGATTCTTATGTAAATCCATTAGATTGTAATTTAATTGATGATGTAACTGAAATAGTTATACATCTATTAGAATCTAATCGTTTACATATATTAGAAAGAGAAAATCCCTGAACGGGATGAAAAAATCTCGATATAGGAGTAAAAACGTTTTAGAATTTTGATATAGGGTTGTTGTATTATATTTTTACTCCCTAAATACGAGTAATTACAGGCAAGTTTGAAAAATACTGTCATGTTTAAGTTTGATACTGTCAAAACATGATAATAATTACTTATACTAAGGGAATAAGAACATAACAGTCATGTTCTGGAATACATAAATGTTTTTACTCCTAAATCGAGATTATTTATACAACTATACTAATTTTTGTTCTTTTGATTACTAGCCCCAACATGATTTTTTCCTTGATCCGCGACTGAACTCTGGTACTAATATGGGACGTACAACTTTGTTGGCTACCTACTTAAAGGTATCATTGAATATTTTCTACTCCCTCCATCCCAATTTGATGATCTTGTTTCGTTTGAGCACAAAGATTAAGAAAGTGTGGTAGAAATATTAAAGAATTTTACTTTATTGTATTGTTCATCCTTTTATTTTTACTGTTCATTAAAAAGGAGGGGTATAAATGGTAATCTACTTTTAATTCTTTACGAAAAAGGGAAACAAGACCATCATTTTGGGACATCCCAAAAAGGAAATACAGGACCCTCATTTTGGGACGGAGGGAGTAATAGTTGACGCGTTTTATCAAGTGTTTTTTAAGTTCGACTTATGGGGTGTTAACTAAAGAGTTTGATATGATAGTGCATTATATTTGACAATATATCCCTATTTTCTAACCCACTTGTTCATTTATATATATATATAAATGAACAAGTGGGTTAGAAAATAGGGATATATTGTCAAATATAATGCACTGGATATATTGTTATATATATATATATATATATATATATATATATATATATATATATATATATATATATAGGAAAAACTTCCGGTAAGGTATACCCTACCGGAGCCGCCGTGCGGCCTCCACGTTTTGAGGGCCTTCTCAGTGGAATTTTTCGATGAAATTTTTTGAGCATGTTCTTCATCAAATCTATTACATCCATACCAAATTTCAGCAAAAAGTGCAATGGGAAGACAGTCAAACGATTTTTGGAAGATAACTGCGTTTTATATGTATATAAAGGTTGCAGTTATCTTCCAAAAATCATTTGACCGTCTTCCCGATTGAATGTTTTGCTGAAATTTGGTATGGATGTACTAGACTTGATGAAGAACATGCTCAAAACATTTCATCGAAAAATTCCACCGGGAAGGCCCTCAAAACGTGGAGGCCGCACGGCGGCTCCGGTAAGGTATACCTTACCGGAAGAGTTCCCTATATATATATATATATTATATATATATATATATATATATATATATATATATATAGGGAACTCTTCATCAAGTCTAGTACATCCATACCAAATTTCAGCAAAAAAATCAACCGGGAAGGCAGTCAAATGATTTTTGGAAGATAACTGCACCCTTTATATGCATATAAAACACGGTTATCTTCCAAAAATCGTTTGGCTGCCTTCCCGATTGAAATTTTTGATGAAATTCGGTATGGATGTACTAGACTTGATGACGAACATGCTCAATAAATTTCATCGAAAAATTCCACTGGGAAGGCCCTCAAAACGTGGAGGCCACACGGCGGCTCCGGTATGGTATACCTTACCGGAAAGTTTTCCTATATATATATATATATATATATATATATATACACATACATATATATATATATATATAGAGGAATGTTCAGGTCCGAACATTCCTGGTCCGAACACCGTCCGAACCAGGGGCGTAGCCAGGACACTGGGCTAGACTGGGCCGGCACAAAGAATATTATTGGAAAAAAAATTACATGAAATTTTTTACACTAAAAATATTGACATTTTTCAAATTTGGGTGGGCCAGGGCCTAGCCTGGGCACCCCCTAGCTCCGCCCCTGGTCCGAACATCCCCATTTGGGGCCCTTCCCGGTGGAATTATTTTATGAAATTTTTTGAGCATGTTCCTCATCAAGTCTAGTTTGTCCATACCAAATTTCAGCTCAAAATTCGATCAGGAAGGCATTCAAATAATTTGTTGAAGTTGACTGCGTCAAAATATACATATAAAAAACGTAGTCAACTTCAAAAAATGATTTGAATGCCTTTCCGGTCGAGTTTTGAGCTGAAATTTGGTATGGACAAACTAGACTTGATGAGAAACATGCTCAAAAAATTTCATCAAAAAATTCCACCGGGAAGGGCCCCAAATGGCCATGTTCGGACGGCGTTCGGACAAAAACGTGCTGGACAGGATCATTTCTCTCTCTCTCTCTCTCTCTCTCTCTCTCTCTCTCTATATATATATATATATATATATATATATATATAGAGGACTGCTCAGGTCCAGCCGGAGGGACGGGAGCAGCCGTCCGAACTTCACTGTTTGGGGCGGTTCCCGGTGGAATTTTTCGATGAAATTTTTTGAGCATGTTTCTCATTAAGTCTAGTTTGTCCATACCAAATTTCAGCTCAAAATTCGACCGGGAAGGCAGTCAAATAAATTCTTGAAGCTTACTGCACTTTTTGCGCATATATAAAGTGCAGTGAGTTTCAAAAATTTATTTGACTGTCTTTCCGGTCGAATTTTGAGCTGAAATTTGGTATGGACAAACTAGACTTGATGAGGAACATGCTCAAAACATTTCATCAAAAAATTCCACCGGGAAGTCCCCAAAAGAGGAAGGCCGCACGGGACTTCCGGTCAGGCCTTCCTGAATCAAACGGGACTATATATATATAGAGGAATGTTGAGGTCCGGACATTCCTGGTCCGAACACAGTTCGAACATGGACGTTTTGGACCCTTCCCGGTGGAATTGTTTGATGAAAATTTTTGAGCATGTTCCTCATCAAGTCTAGTTTGTCTATACCAAATTTCAGCTCAAAATTCGATCGGGAAGGCATTCAAATCATTTTTTGAAGTTGACTGCGTCAAAATATACATATAAAAACGCAGTCAACTTCAAAAAATGATTTGAATGCCTTCCCGATCGAATTTTGAGCTGAAATTTGGTATGGACAAACTAGACTTGATGAGAAACATGATCAAAATATTTCATCAAAAAATTCCACCGGGAAGGACCCCAAACGACGATGTTCGGACGGAGGGTCCTGTCCGAACGTGGGGACCTAATCATTCTTGTGTGTGTGTATATGTATATATATATATATATATATATATATATATATATATATATATAGGAAAAAGATCAGGTCCGAACGTTCGGACAGGACCCTCCGTCCGAACATCCTTGTTTGGGGTCCTTCCCGGTGGAATTTTTTGACCGAAACGAATCGCAACAAATCGAAACGAAATCGAACCACATGCAGTTTGATTTAGATTAAGAAGTATTTCTTTCAAAATGTAGAAAACCTAACCAAACCAAAATCATGAAAAATAAATTAAAACTGAGTCAAAGTAAAATGTTCAATAAATTTTTTATATATTTTTAAAAAATACAAATCAAAACCTAATCGAACAAAACCAAATCAAATCAAAACTTAGTATGAAGTGTGATTTTTTTAAGGAAAAACAGTCAATTTCAACTTCATACTATCACGAAAAAGTCAATTAAATCTCCATACTTTTAAAAAAATCAATCAAAACTCCAGACTTTGTAAAAACATTCAATTGAGTTCATTAACAGGGGTTTACCCACCACGTCGATCAACGAGTCACTTTTTGACGTAACACACATGTGACATCCCAGTCAGGAGTGTCTTTTATGACACATGTGGAAGCATAATCAACCATTTATTCATGACGTGGCACATACATAGACCACCACGTGTGTACCAGGTCACCGGGTAACCTGCTGACATAGCAGGTAACCTGCACACATAGACCACTACGTGTGTGCTAGGTCACCGAGTGACCTGCTGACATGGTAGGTAACCCGCCAATTGACTCAATTGGACACTTTTTTCAAAGTTCGGGAATTTTACATTTTTAAGTATGAGGACCTAATTGATTTTTTCGTGACAGTACGAAGATCTACGAATTTCCCATTTTTTATCGATCATTGTTATTGTACACACTCTTATACGATTATGCCTATCTTTATGCCCATTATTGTGAAAGATTTTTTTGTTCGTGAATCGAGACAAATATGTTTTTTTTTGTGTGGGCAAGTGGTTAAAGCCTAAAGGTGGGTGGAAACCGTAGAAATATGTTTTTTGTTTTTTGGGAAAAGGTGCAAATAGGCCCATGTACTAACAAAAAAAGGTCAAATAAGCCCTTATTTAGGAGGTTCTGTCTGGCCTTCGTCATTTGGGGTGGTTCCCGGTGGAATTTTTTGATGAAATTTTTTGAGCATCTTATTCATCAAGTCTAGTTTACTCATATCAAATTTGAGATAAAACT